CAGAATTCCTACCATTGTGGGCATTACATACAAATTGAGCAGTGTGCCTTGGACTGTTGATACATGGTGTTGAAGCAGAGGGTGGTGGTAGTGGTGGATCTGCCATGCTTGGCGGTGGTAGTGATGTAGAACTAGAACTTTCTTCTATTTCTCATCTTTCCTTGACAAGTTGCCTCATCCGTCTAGTTTTGCTATTCAACTTACGTATAGTTCTTTCAATCTTAGGATTTAAAAAAAGTTGATCCGTAGATAACTTTCCTCGCATAAACAGAGTCTGCAAAACTTAACCAAACAAATTAAGAAGCACGAGAAAAAGGAACTGAGGTAAACAAAAATTTAAACTTATTAACTATTGCAATGCTTGCAATATCAAACAATAATCCCCGACAACGGTGCCAATTTATTGAAATAGTATTAGTAGGGGTTTTTGTTATCTTATCCGCAGGGATTGTGTGATATTACTGTCGTTCTACAGTTGGAATTGTTTTAAATTTATAACATAAAAGGGGTTTGTTTTGGTTTCGTAATGCAACAATCGCATAAAAAGTTATAATCAACGGTAAAATGTTCAGTTTTAAATCAATTGATAAAAACAAGTCAAGATTAGGTCTCGATAATCCATTTTGTAGGTATTTTCTTAATAAAGCATGTGAACTTATTAACAATAAATATAATAACATATCCTCTCAAGATGTTTCATCTCTAAAACAAATTGTGAGTTTTATCATATTGATCCTTAGATGATCTCTCAACCTAACTATCAATATGATAATATTAAAGGTTTGATAATAGTGAATTTCAACTCACAAAATTATTTCTAAACTTCGTTTATTGAAAGATGAAAAAGTTAGGTCAATGGTTGAAAAATATCTCTCAATAATGATCCAACACAAATATAACATATAAACAAGGTTTTTCACCATATATTCATCATCAACTTGTTCACATATAAGATATCAAGAGAAATACATACAAAAGTGAGGATTATCTACCTCTAATCTTAACACGAGGATGTATTTAGCTAATCATAATCATGGTAGCTTGAGCAACAAGTAACAAGCAAAGCTTTTGGAGCATCAAACTTGAAAGGATTAAAGATTGAAACTTAAAAGCTTTGATTTCTAAGAGAAATGAAGAAGATGACTTTTTCTCTCCACACAAATGTTTCTAGGTTACAAACGATTATCTAAAAAGTAAGTTATCCCCTAAAAATATCAACAAGTGTTAATATACACATGTTCTGCCCAAGAAAATTCGTCAGGAAAAATCCTTTAGTAAAGCCACGTGACAGCAACAGTGCAAGTGGGCTGAGGAAAATATCTGAATTTGCCAGGTGAAATAAAGCTTCACCGGGTGAATCCCTTTCACTCCTCATTCGCTAGGCGAATCAGCCAGCAAACCACTTCTAGTAGCTATTGGAATTTTGAGTTTCATTCGCCTCATCCCTCGCTTGAGCTTCGCTGGGCGAATCTGCCCTTTCGCCTCTCCTTCGCCAGACGAAGGTAATGCTTTCTTCGACACGCGCGTTTGTTCGATTCTTTGCTTTTTCTTATGATTTTTGATGCACCTTTTTTACATAATATGCTGAAAAGCTAACAAATATATACATTGATGCAAGAATCACTTAATAAATAAGTTCTTTTGCAATCAGAAGCATGGAAAAGAGTTTAAAAGTGTCACAAATTGATACGAAAACTATTTTGTACTTGACGCCTATCAACAGTGGATGACACAACTATAAGTTCGGCCAGAGTTGGTCTTCCAGGATGCACTGGTACAGAGAAGGGCAGTCTATTACCAGGAATTGGTGTTTGACTGATTTGGCGGTCTCGGTCGCTCCGATAGTGACAATAAGTTCGACATAACCCCGTGACTTAGTGGTCACACCGTTGAAGCCTTACATATCAGAGTCCATGTAGAGTGTCAAATGCGTTTCGTCGAGCTGCAATGTTAGGAACAACTGAGAGTACATGATGTCGATCGAGCTTCCCTGGTCGACAAGTATGCGGCAAACGTTAAAGTTCGTCAGTCATGCTCTCACAAGTAAATGGATGCTAAAGTTGGGGGATCCACCGGGGAGCTCCTTGCGATATAATGTTATAGGGACTGAGCTTCCCTGACATTTGTCGAGAGTAGACTTTTGGCTCGAGCTCGTATCAGTGAGCTGATCAAACTTCCTTTTCACTGACCCTATGGTTAGTTTGTTGAATTCCCCGCCAAATATGACCATGGTACAGGGGAAGGTTTCCCACGTGCTGTGTGCCGAAAAATGGAGGGGGGTTTTGGCTCCATCGGGGACGTAGAAGTCCTTGGGTCGGGAGACGGACATGGCGATCTATAGGTTGATGTCGTCAGAGGGTGGCTTATCCTCCTCGACCTTCTTCGCTTCCCGAGCGTCCTGCCGAGGAGCCTCTCTTCTCTTGGTGTACTGATTCAAGTGCCCGTCCTTGATGAGGATTTCAATTGCATATTTGAGGTGGATGCACTCTTCAGTAACGTGCATATGGCTCTTATGGAAGCGGAAATACATGGTCTTGTCCGCGGTAGGCTTAAGAGGTATTTTCCTGGAGAAACAGACTCTATCCTAGCGGAATTATGAGTTCACGCACTCGGATAAAATACAATCACGAGAGGCAGTCAGTGGCGTGTACTCGGAAAAACGGCTGAAAGGTACTTTGTACTCCCTAGACTCACGGGGCTTATCCTATTTCCTTTTCTCTCCTTCTCGGCGAGGCGCCATGGAGTCAACATGCCTCGAAAATCTGGCATTTTCCTGATGCCGCGAGTCTCAAGCATTGTTGGCAGTTTCTTTCTCCTTGTACTGGATATAGGTATGTGCCTTGAGGAGGAGGGCATTTAGCGACGCGGGCGTTTCGATGCTGACAGTCTTGGCGAAGTCGCTGCGAGGTCGCAGTCCTTGCTCGAGCAAATACTTCTTCATGTCATCGGTCGTGGAGACCTGAACAACTTCTCGATTAAACCTCTCAATGTAGGCTCGGATGGATTTATCCTTCCCCTGCATGATTGCCTTGAGCGTTGCCTCTGACTTTGGATGGCGACGAGAAACGGTGAAGTGCATCGAAAACTGTCTTCCTAGGTCCCTCCAGGAAGTGAAGGACTCTTCAACGAGGCTCTTGTACCATGTCATGGCACCCTTCCTCAAGGTTGTGGGGACAATCTCCACTTGATGGCACCCCTGACGCCGCGATAATTGAGCAACGCATTGATGTTTTCAACGTGATCATTGGGATTTGTCATTCCATTGTATGTCCCCAGGTTCGGGGGCTTTTCCAACCCGACGGGAAGCGGAACGTCCATGATCGCTCGAGATAGTGGACCGCGGGAGTCTTCTTCGCCACTCCGGAGCGGTAAGTGTGGTGAAGAGTAGTCGTACTTCTCTCGTTAAGGGTTGTTATCGCGGCGTGGCAGTGAGTCCTTTGGTTGGCCCCTTAATTTGCATGGGGGCGAACGTCGGTTATTTGGCCGTCCGCTGGTTTTGCTTTTCTTGACAACTAGAGAGCGTAAGTCCTCGCAGGGAGTAGTACGGTTGCACTTCAGGGGTTGTGGCCTCTCCAACTGTGGGCGGTGGCCTAGTCGTTACGGCGACGGGCTTCGGGATTCATAACGTTGGTGTCTTCGCGGGGGAGAGCGTGGACGACAGTCTTTCTCCAATGCTCTGATCCTCTCATTTTGTTGGTAGATCAGCGCGTTGGTCTGGTTAAGGGTCGCGACTAGGGCCTCCATGGTTAGGTCGGCGTTGGCTGGCACCAAGATTAGTTGGAATTTCTCCTGAGCTTTTTGGACTTTGCAGGTCTCGACATACTGGACGTCATTATCGGCCGCATCGTCGGAGGAGGGGGAGGCGGTGTGTCTGTCTCTCCTCGTTGGAGTGTTTTCCTCTAAAATTGGCATATCTTTGTTGTTGTCGACGTCATGGACAGGACATAGGATTGTTTTGTGATCGTTGTTGTCGTTGTGTTGACCGACCATGATTAATTTTAGAAGTTTTTTGTTTTGATCTCTTGGTTTCAAGGAAAGCAAAGATGGGGAAACAAGATTCTCACAAACGGAGCCACTGATCTAACCTGCCAATCATAATAGGTGGCCAGCAACACGTCCGCGGTCTTGACGGACGGCGAAAAGGGGGGGTACCTGCAGACACTCTGACGGTTAAGTTAGTTCGGGTGAAGAGTTGAGCAAGAAAGGGTAAAGAACATAATACTTGACCCTCCTGCAGAGGAGGAGTTTTATAGTGAGCCCCTAACATAGGGTCAATGGTCTCCGTTATGGGTTAAGTGTCCAAACCCACAACGGATGACTGGTATGATTCCTACGTGGATGCAGGGATGAGTAGATCGTGCTCATCGTACAGGGTTAACCGCTCCGCATTCTCTGGTTAGTGGACGAACTTGTCTGTTGCAAAGGGCAGAAAGGTTCCACAAGTCGTGCGAGTCGGTTGGTGACGTGTCCACGAGTGAGGAGTACGTAAGAAATGTGTTTTCTACTGAGCTCAACGAGTTGGGTCAGCAGTCTGTGTCGTCCTCGACGTAGGACTAGATTGGACTGTGCTCGACGCTGAGTCAGCCACAAGCTCAGTCCAAAACAATATTTATGCAAGAAATAAAAATGACAAAGTTAGAAAGAATATACGCAAGATTTATAGAAATTCGTCTCATTCATCTCGCAAGATATTACTTACAAGACTTTTGGAGTCCCGCCTTGGACAAAAATTCAAATCGAAATTGTTCTACTAATATTAAGAAAATAATTTGTTCATTAACTAAATTTCACGAAACATGACAACATTGAAAACTTTCCTAAAGTTCACATTGAAATTGAATAAAGAAAAAGGGTAAATTAAATTGTTGTAGAGTATGACATATTTCCTTCTGACGTGGCTCATAGAGTGAAGTTTAAAGCTCATTGCATATTTTTGCATTGAACTAACTCTACTTATTATCAAACAACAGAGAAAGAGAGAACAATAAAAAGAAGACAACATGGGTATAGGATCATCTTCAACACCAACCCTTATAACAGAATTAGCACCACCTGAAGCTAAAGTTACAGGCATTTTCACCTATCCGATTAAGTCATGTCGTGGCATTTCGCTTCCTCATGCTCCTCTCACTCCTTTTGGTACCATCTTCCTTCTTCTAATGCTTTTTATTTGAATTTAATTGGAGCTTTTGTATTCATTACTTTTACTTGTTAGGATTTCGATGGGATCGACAGTGGGTGGTTGTGAACTCAAAAGGGAGAGCACGCTCTCAAAGAGTTGAACCAAAGCTTGCTTTGGTTGAGGTTGAACTTCCACCTGAGGCTTTTCTTCAACACTGGAAACCTACCACTGATTCCTTCATGGGTATATCACATTTTTCTTATGCTCCACCATACTATATCATATTCTGTATTTATATGTTTTATAGATTGGAAGTGGACCTTTCAATACATTTGAGATCTAAGAGATTAATCTTTGTAGTTGCGTAAGGTACTTGAATCTTCTGGTTTATAATTATAAATTTTTACTTTTTTACATAATTCCGCTTGCTTTCCTTAAAAGGAAAAAGGCAATACTAGTGAGAAAAAGAGAGATATCACAGCTGGGTAGATGATATAAGGTATATGATTTCATAGTAGTGGGGCTATCTGCTTATCTTAAATGGAAAATGTAAACTCTTTTTGAACAACTTCCAAAAGAAAACGTGAAATAAAAGTAATTGATGTCTTAACAGATGTGAGCTAGTGCCAAATACATCACATGCTTGCCTAAACGGTACACAATGAAAGAACTTCCACATTTTTGTTCTATCATAATCTTGATAAAGAATCCTCAAAATCAAAATGAGTGACTCATCCACTTTTTATGTGCACTGACAGACTTTTGATTTGCATATTCTTCATAATCATGATATTCTTTTTTCCTTTTTCTTTTGTTTAGTTAATGATTAGTTTTTTTTTTGTTTTTTTTTTCATTTTACAGTGGTGAAAGCACCTGGAATGGAACCTCTCAAAGTTTGTTTGAACAAACAGAAGTATGAAGTAGTAGATGATATTGGTTTGTGGGAATGGACTGGCCCCGCTTGGGATGAGGGAGCTGAAGCATCACAGTGGTTCTCGGATTATTTAGGAAGTCCATGTAGATTGGTCCGCTTCAATACCAGTAACGTCTTTGAAAACTTATATAATAAGAAAACGACGATAATGATGTTTAGAAGAATTTGTTACTTTAGACATGTTAATGATTGGTAAAGGACTAACTCAACTCTACAAAATTAGTTTGTAAGGTGAAGACTACCCTCATTTATAAATATACATTCAAGTCATAGCAGAAACCTGATAGCAAGTAATCCAACAAATCATGATGATAACTCTTGAGTTATGTTTCCAAATGCAGGTTCAGAAGTTAGAAATGTAGACCCTCGTTATGTTGAGGGACAGCAATGGATCTTCTTCAGTGATGGTTATCCATTCTTACTCGCATCTCAGGTCAGGCCTATTGCAGTTGGGAAACAAAGTCGATATTTACTTAATTAAGTCGTTACTCTTTACTTTTTCATGTATCGCTTTTAGGAATCCTTGGATGCACTAAACAAGCTTCTGGAGGAACCAATACCTATGAATCGTTTCAGACCCAAGTATCGATTTGTTCATGCTTATCGTCACTATTTTGTAATATTTATATGCTTCATAGTATAGATGACTAGTTTAGATTACATAATTGAGATTTGGATGACACATGGTGCAGTATCCTTGTTGAAGGCTGTGAACCATATTCTGAAGACTTTTGGAGAGATATCCAGATAAGCAGGTTTTCATTTCAGTGTGTCAAGCTGTGTGCCCGTTGTAAGGTACAAAACTAAGGAAACTAATCAATTTTTTTCCTGTTATGCATCCAACTTTCATTATTGATGATGGTTATATTATATTCAGATACCACAAGTCAATCAAGAGACAGCAATATATGGAACTGAACCAACGGAAACTCTCATGAAAGTTAGGTCTGGCCATGTTTTGCGACCAAATGAAAATAACAAAAACAAGGTAAGACATTCTGTCATCAAATTTTCAATGAATGTTCCTTTGGTTTCATTGATGTCAAGTGACATGTGAAGTGCTTGTGCAGGTCTACTTTGGTCAGAAAACAGTGTGGAACTGGAAGGATTCTTCTGGTAAAGGGGATGGAAACGTGCTTAAATTGGGAGATCCCGTTTATATTATCAAAAAATATCCTTCTCTAGCAGAAGCAGCAGCTTAAAAGGCTTCAGTGACACAAACTTTAGCAAACATAAGTCTCAGTGGCTATGATGAAATTAAGTGACTACATTTACATGATTGCTGATCATTCCTTTGAGCAGTTGTAAAATGTAATGCATCTATTGTGCCTTGTATCCAATTAATAACATGATAATAAGGATCCTGCAAATAATAGGGTTCTCTTCATTATCAACATTATGTTGCCACTAGAGTTTAGAGAGATTAAACAGCAAGTTTGATATGTTTGGGATAAAATCTAATCAAATCAACTTTTTTCCAAACTGACGCGGAAAATAGATTGCAGCGATTATACAACCGTTGCTACCAGTATCATTGTTGTGATGTGCTGTGACTTTATGTTTTACATTTGAATGAGTCATACAATGCACTCCTTGTCCAACCCACTAACAGTGCTGAAAGCAAATTCAAAAAACTCATTTCTCATTGTTGGATATTGAACTCCTTTCCTATGTAGAAAAATGTCCAAATTTGTTAATCCATTATGTCTCACTTATATTAAGTGAGGAAGATCAATCTAGGGTTAGAACAATGAAAGAAAAGAATGGAAAAAATCAACCACTAGAGAGAAATTAAGTGTGAAACCTAGTTTCGTTTTTTTCTAATTAGTTTCAAAAAATGTGCAAAGTAAATACAACAAAGAAATGCCTTAAGTTAGACATTTCAAATTAAGGAGAAAAAAAATGATAAACATATGAGTGACACTTCAATCACTTACAGCTTTTAGCTAGCAAGGAACTTCTGGTGTCACGCCTCATAATGTTATACTTCAATCACTTACAACATTGATATTTTTAAAAATACTCTTTCAGCAATTCTTAATTGATGGCTTTACCATGATGGAGTCTGAAAGGCTAATATGGTTCAGTCAAAACTTCGTGTTGGAAAATACCAAAAATTTGTGGGAGGTAAGTGATTCATGGATGCACTTTATTTCAATGGAATGGCAATTTATGTAGCAGCTGGTTTTCCTGATATTTTTCTTACATTCACCTGTAATTCGAATTGGCCTGAAATTCCAAGGTATTTATAGAAGCACAACCACAAAACCGCCTTGATATTGTTTCCGTGTTTTCAAAATAAAATTTGATCAACTTCTTAACGACTTAACATAGAAACATGTACGGGGGAAAACAAAAGCATGCAAGTCTAACCATAATGTAATTGCCTTCATTTTACAAAATATCAAATAATTCATACATATGCCTTTCTCATTTCTTGTTTCAAACTTCATTTATTTCGACAGATATGTACACCGTCGAATTTCAGAAAAGAGGACATCCTCATGCTCATCTACTACTCTCTTTACATTCTTCAAATAAATATTCCAATGCTGCAGGTATTGACAAGATAATCAAATGCATTAACGGTTTTCAACATGAAAGCTTCATGGATGCATGCTTTTCCATGAGATTTCTTGTAGAAGATCGAGAATACATTGCAGCTTTAGAGGAGGCAAGATGTTCGGGTTCCGTTTTTTTTAAAAATTGTTTGTCCCTATGCTGTTGACAGGTTCTATGAATAGATTTGGCCATCTTTGGGCCAATACTAAATATTTGTTAGTTGATAGCATCCTTCTTCATCAAAGAAATATTACAAACAACAAAGGTAATGGAGGATTCCATAAGTTCTATTTTCCAAAATATAACTCCTTTTTCATTTAACATTTTACTACTTCTCAAACATTGTCTTACATTTTGTGTAGATCTGATCCTCGCGGAAGAAGAGATCATATAGCTTACACTTATTGAAATTGAGAACTTCTTCCAAGCTAATAAAAGATCACTTAAGGATTTTGGTTCAATTCTCTATCCTAAGGTTTATGTTCACAAACATCTTGACAACAAACTTATATATATGCCGAAAGGAACTACAACAAACAATTACCAAAAGAAGAATATAGCGATCTCTACAAGTCTTTTACATGTGACAAACACGTATGAGCGCAAATTTCCCTAACTTCTTTTGAATCATTTCTTTTCATGTAACATGAACTCTTATAATAACTAACTCTTCCTTATTCAATTTTAAATATATGAACAGAGAGTTATTTTCCATAAGATAAAAAAGTTAGTTAATAATCAAAAGAGTGAAGTATTTTTCTTGAATAGTTATGGAGGAGTAGGAAAAACTTTTATGTAAAAAACGCTTGCAACATCTTAACAATCAAAAGGCAATCTAATATTAACTGTTTTATCTAGTGGAATAACTTTGTTACTTTTACCAAATGGAATAACAACGCATTTAAAGTTCAAAATTCATGTTCCTTCTTTAGACAAATATGTCATATCTTAATTTTTGATCCTAAGATACCCACATCATTTACATCTCCTACATACACTTTTATGTATCACTAACCCATTTTTATAAAATTAAGATTGTTGTTTGCTTCATTATGATCTCCAATTAAGGTTTTAGACCCTACAAAAAATTCAGGCAAATGATCAATCAAAAATTGGCATGATCTTCAACTTATCAAGTACCTCAATCATCCATGGAGATGAAAATATCTCATTCACCAAAAATTAAGGACAAGATTACATCATTTCAAGTTGGTCAAGCCTCAAGATCATCTGTGTCACCAAATCAGGGTTTTGACCTAATTCAACCCCTAAGATGACTTATGGAGTAAGGCATGATCCAAGACCTCAAGATATGTTTCAAGGATTTCAAATACATCATATTAGTCCATTCAAATGATTGGATTGATCCAAAGAACTTGATTCATAAACAATGCAATAGCTTAAAGCCATATGAGCCACAAACTAGGTTTTGATGAAAAAGTCAACACATATCTTTGACTTTTGATCAAGACATGATATCCAACCTTGAGATATGATTCAAGGAACTCAAATATACCCTTGAAGTCCATTCATAAGTTTAAAATCACCTTGGAGTACTCATACATCAAAAATCAGAAATTAGGGTTTCCCTGCATAAAATTCATCTGATACATAAAGTCAAAGTATGACTTTTTGAGCAAAATTGTTCATCATAAGCCATTATACAAGAAAATATGATCCATTGTTTCATTTGAAAAAGGATTGATCAAGAAATCAAGGTTACTTGCAAAAGAGGCAAAGTTGAAGAAATTGAAAATTTCACTAAGTTATGGATAAACATGATTTTTACCTAACTTTACAAGGCCATGACTTGTGATCCAAGCAACCATTTTTGACACTCTAAAGCTCAAATGATATATCTTATCACATACAACAAGATTTATAGGTTGAACCATATCCAAAAACTTCATGGATTTCAAGTTAGGAAGTGATCAAAATAAAAATAATAATAATAAGAAAATGAGTTTCAACACTTAGTGAAAATTCAGCCAAGTTTTTCAGCATGAAACATCAATTTTCAAGGGCACTTTTCATTATGATCTAAGTAGAATCAATATAAACTTTGAACATAAATGTTGAAGAACATCATCTCAATTTTCTAAGAAGTACAAGAACATCCATTGATTCAACTCGAGCAAGAAGTTATGAATCTCACAACTCACCTTGCTGCAACTGTTTTTCAAAGACAGATTTTGGGTCTTTCTTGCACCACACAATTTTTCACAACAAGTTTTTCATTTTGCAAGCTTTATCATCTTCCAAGATCAGAATAAATCTTGATGAATCACTTGATATATTCAAATTTGGACCAAAGAGTCAAGAATCTAGCTTGACATGTGAAAATTCATCATGACAAAAGCCTTAAAATTCAATTTTGTTAAGTTGCATTAATGTGATACATAAAGGTGACATGGACTATGCAAAAAGCAGTCAAGACATATCCAAGAACAAGAAGACTTCAAACCTGCAAAATTGATGGGAGTCAATGCATAGATATGCTAGGAGGAGACTTTGGCTACATGACATAACACATTGGATAAAAGAGTGATCCTTCATCCATTCACTATTGCTCCAAAAAAAATTGTTCTCTTATAAATAAAGATTATTTATGATCATTTCAAGCATACAAAAACAACATCACACTTGTTTTATCTCATTTCCCTCTTTCATTCCAAAGTTTTAAGTTTCAAAGAGTGAAAATCGAATTTCTCAAACCAGAGCAATTCCATCCAAACCAATGATCCAAACAACTCACATACATCATATGTGAGTGATCCAAACACTTAAACATCATTTGTAATATCAAATTTATCAAGATCATAGTTCATCCTAAGCAACCTGCAATTGTATTTGAGCTCATAAATCCATAAGGTTTCAATCCCTTCCAAGCACATCAACACAGTCCTTGAGATCTAGGGAAGCTGTCCAGATTATCAAAACACTTCTGTAACACCTACAGCTGAGGATTCAAATTGCTTTTGCAAGGTAAGCCTGAACTTTTCAAACTCCATAAACCATGCATCATAAATGTTATTTCAAGTTACCAACATGTTTCTGGATGATCATAGATCATTAACCATCAATCAATTGCTGCTTATAACTTGTGTATGTGATTTCACATTAGTTTTTGCAAAGTTAGGGTTCATATGTTTATCACATGATAACTCACTCCACACTTAAAATAAATGAAATTAAATAGTACCATTGTGTTCCTTGTTAAGAAACGAGCAATTTTCATGTTTACGTCATGCAATTTCATTAAGAATTGAGGGAGATAGGAGAGATTTTGCAAATCTGGGTGGCGCGAGTGTCGCACCTCAAAAAATCACGGAGACATTTCGGAGAAACGACCCTCGCGCGAAAGGCGCAGAAATGCGGTTCGACAGAGTCGCCACCGAACTTTATTTTTCCCGAATAAACGGGAGAGGAAAATATCGAGAAAACCTCTTAAAACGAAAGGATAGGAACAGGGCTGTCGCAACCAAGTTCCGGGTTTGGGAGTCGGTTACGCGAGGGGAAGGTATTAGCACCCCTCACGTCCGTTGTACTCAACGGGAACCTCTTAAGGTATTTGTGGAGAGTGTTATCTAGGTTTGGTTGTTTTTCTTCTTGATGTTAAAGGCGAATTGGTAGGTTAAAA